ACTCACTCTTTCCACGCCTCCCTTCCTCCCCTCCCCCCGATGAGAAAAAAAATGAGGAACCTCTAACTAACCTACCCATTGAAGTTTATGAGGAATCCGTAAATCCACAAAATTTGAGTGCATAATTGTTTCCGTACTTTGATAAATCCAATAATATAGTGAAAGATGCGGCATTCTTTTGTATTTTTACTTTATATTTTGCAGCCACTTCTAATCTCAGTTATATATATAATTGGAACTCAAATATTTGTAAGAGATTTGTATTAATTTGCTCTGCTGTATATAATTTTTATCATGCACTTGTAATTTTATTTTTGTATCTAACACCCACATGTTTTAATTAACATTTGAGATTTCACAATATCGCAGACAGATTCAACAATATCAGAGCTAATCCAACAACATATATTATATTATCTGGACCACCAACTTCTTGTTTCAAGAACTTTAAGCCATTTCAATTTGCCAAAAGTTTCAATCTTCAAAATGCAGCAATGGAAGCTTAGTAGAATCCCAATTACCACCTTTTCATTTAGACGATTGAAATAATCAATCCATGCTTAAAAACAAAAGAGCAGCAACCAAACAGAGAAGTAAAAAGTCCAGATACTAGTAGTAGTCATACTCTAAACCCAATTCAAGGTTGGTACATTACTTCGTCTTCCATACAGTTTATGTCATCACAATAACATTGTAAACAGCAGTTTATTTTCAAACCTATATACCACAGACAGACAGTAACATGATAATACCAGAGAGCGTCTTCTGACTCAAAATCAAACATCAGTTCATTTTAGCCAGGTGGCCAGTTCATTTGTCGCTCCCCAAGAAGATGGACATGAATGTGGTAGACAGATTGACCTGCAATAGAACATTCGGCATTAATAATCCTCACTCAGTCTGTAAACAAACATATTTGTATCTCTGCGTACAGCCCATGTGCATTGAGATTTAAGATGAAGGATTACGTACATCCTCTAGGACCATCATTGATCACAATCCTGAAGCCATCATCAAGACCTTCCTGTTTGGCAACAAGCTTGGCAGTGTAAAGAAGGCGGCCTAATATCTCATATTGCCTCTCTTCAGCCTAGAAAACAAAAAATAAAAATAAAAAAACACGATCAGAAAGTGCTTTAGCTTTATGAAGAGGCTAAAATATTCTGAACAGGAAAATCTTTGAAGTTCTTTCACCAAATAACAAGATAAAAAATGGTCAATCACTAGAATAAATCTTTATTATCAAATTTCCCCTCCACTCTTTATTTTTTAACCTTTGGAAAATAATCCTAATGTTGCATTTTTCACAAAAATCTTTAAAATGTTTCCAGTGTTAAATTTCCTTTTTAACTTTCAATTAAAACACTAACTCCAAACGTATAGCAAAGAAACCCTTAGCAAAGAATGGCACATGACTCCTAACAGCTTTTACAAACAAAAGAAAATGTAAAAGTTGCAGCAACAAAGTTCAACATAAGGAAACATTTGACAATTGGTAATCCTCACCCAGAGTTCTGGGTATTATGACAAGCTCACGATAATGACAAGATCACATTAAAGCAAACAACAACAGGAAGACTCTTTGAAGCATTTACATCTAATTGCTAGCCGCAAATTACAATTCACAAGAGTAAGAGACATCAAGATATTCAGGCCGTGAGGCTCAATTTCTGATGTTGTGCCTCATATTCAAGGTTTTTGCAGGTCTACATAAATCTAACGCAAAAACTAAGCCAAGCTGTTCATTTGAGAAATGCATCAAAAGAAAGTAATTGACTTTTGTCTCCAAACATACAACTTTACTTGGCATGGAAAACAAAATATGTTTGAGAAGTATACAATAGGAAAGTAAAGAGATATTTTCTGTTTCATTAGTTTGAACACCTTGAAAAATAAAGAGATGCCAAGTATACTTAACACAAGATAAAATTTCATGAAAATATATAATTGCTGGCAAAGCATATTTAACATTAGTCAATCAAGAATGAAGGTCATCATAGTTGTCCCTGACTAAGCCTCCACACCTTTTTATCCTCTTTTCTATTTCACGGCATCAGTCCTTAGGTTTTTTATCCCAAAATCAATCACTGATCTTCCAAGATACTCATGTAACCAAATTCATATGCCGTCACTTGAAATAGAGGCCAATCAAATGTAGCCTACCTTTTCTCTTCTGTTTTAGGTGAATGTCTGCGGTCTTTGTTTTAAAAGACAAAACCCTGTCCGTCAGATTACGCCCAGCTTCCCTTCTCTTACAAAGTGTTAAATGTCATATCAAAATATGTCTTTTACAAATGCAAACTTATGCTGTTAGTTGTATTCCCCAACCCAAATAAGCTCTAACTTTTCCAAGATATCTCGGACATAAATACATCTTTGAGAAGCAGGTATTTGGAGATTAAAGTTCTCAAAAACTGTTTCTAAAGAAATATTCTAACATACGTTTCTCCAGTTCCTTCCCCTTACTTCAAAGGGATTTGCGATCCTAAAAATTGCCAACACTAATAAATTGGTGCCATTTGAAACATAAGAGAACAATGAACTGAGAATATACCATAGATAATCCAGTTAAGCCATCCTTGACTTTAGATATAATTATAATGTGTGTGTGAGCTTGCGGAGAAACGTCCCTAGAAGCTAAGGCCTATCAAAGCCATGAAAATGTACAACAAATGCGTTGGAATATTGCAAGAATTTTTCTTAAGACAATGTTTATCAACAACTGAAATCCACTGGAGAGAGGGGACAAACAACTGGTGTGAAGGAAAAATCGTGAAAGTAGCTTTTCATCCTCATAAACCACAGTAGATGGTATTTCTTTGTTGATGATTTTGTCAAATATACATTTGAAACAAAAAGATTACGAAATTAATAAAATTTATGGACATGTTTGGTTGTGGTGAAGTCAACCTAGATGACAACTTCCACAAGCCTCCGAAAAGATCCAAGACAAAATTAACCATTTTCGAACTTAAGACAACTTGTTGTTTCAAGCTCCATTAGGTTCTCATAATCTGCCCTCTCGTGTAAGAAGGAAACTTAACCGGAAAATTGATGCATCCCCAAAAGGATTATCAAAAGATGCAGAATGCACATGAAAAAATTCGAATCATCACTTGATGAAGTCCAGCTTTTTAAAAAGGATCCTTGATGACGAATGAAATTTGACCCATCATAGACAGACTCCAGTGAGATCAGAAACTAATGGATGAGAGAGAAGGGGGCTGGGAGAATGCCGACTGCTTACATGGTTGAGGAATCGGAAGGAGGAGTAGCGGCAAGAGTAGCTTCTTTCTCAGAAGCCATGGCGGCCGAGAAATGGGAAGAAAGTACAGCAGGCGTCAATATTTTTAATGATTTTCATTTTTATATTTCATTTCATTTTCTTATTTTTCTAAAAAAAACGTTGATTTTTTTTTTTTTAAATGACAGGAATTGAAATATTTTTAATTTAATTACTCAATTTTGATAGAGAAATTGCAGTATTTTTTTTCATACCACTTGAATTTTGTTAGAGAAAAATATTAATTGAGGCAAATTAGAAAAGAAGAAAAAAGAGATGCAAAAAAGAATTCAAACACCAAAATTATGTTCAATTTACAAAACCAAAGGAAAAAAATCATCTTTTTTCCACAACTTTGAGCGACAACATATTCAATTTACACCAAGAAAGCTAAGAGAGCTTTAAGCAGCTGACAACTTTTGCGCAGGCAATAGACTCTTTGCAAGGGCACGTAAAGCCACTTGGCCTCTTTGCGCATTCGAATACTTTCTGTGAACTGTTTGGAGTTTCCTCACTATCTCCAGCCTTTTTGTGTAGATAAACCAGCAATTTGGCACATTCCCTGTCAATAACCAAAAAAAATTTCCCATCAATCTTTTCTTTTTCCTCATCCTCTCCACAGACCCTGAAGAATACATCAACAAAGGGAGGATTTGATTTCAACTATTTACTTCAGCTCGAATTATGTGTAAGTGGTGTGGACTTTAAGGGTCTCTATCCAAACAGGGGTCTGGTTCAGAGTACATCTAACTGTATACACGGTTGACGCAGCTACCAATGATGGGCAATACTTTATCGTCTCATAGTGCATTATACCGAGTTTAGCAAGAAACTTTACTATGTTTTCCATCTATTCATTAATCAAAATTATATAACTAAAGCCTTTTTATATAAGATATAATCCAAGGAGAAAACACTGGTTTTGTTACTTACTTCTTTATTTGGAATTGATGCTTTGATAAACTGGACAAGGAACACATAGTGTGTTGGCACTATCAAGTACCATTCCAACTCACCTAGTATCATTTTCTCCATCATCAATATCTATTGGTGAATGTATGCATTATCTGTAATATAGACCAGGTCATTCACCTGTAAAATTTAGTCTTTTAATATTTAGCTGAACATTTGCTGCAAGGAACCTTCATATATATGTAAGTGTAGGAAGAAAGTATACGAACCTCAGGTGGCCAGATTTCTTTATATTTAGAAGTAATTAGCATGCACCTAAGTCAACCAATTGCAATTCTCTCCTGGGCACAATTTTTGCAAAAAGGAACTTATCAATTATATTAATAGTCAGATACAAGGTTTTATTAGAGAGTTCAAACTTGTGATGGACTTTTATCAACCAGTCCACCAGAATGGCTTTAATTTTCTCATTGATCTCACATTGCATTTACTTGTAGTTATGTGGCCTGCTCTTGTCCTGCATCACGACCCACAAGTTATAATCATGGTTATTAACCTCAAATGACATTTCTTTAAAAAAAATGAAGGGAAAAGAACTTGTTCTACCTCATCAAATTTGTATATTTCCTCAACATATTCAACCCTATCTAAATGATCATCAACATCTGCTGTATCAATGTCAACAATTTGTTCTTTTGGTCTGCTGGCCAGACCACAAGCAGCCTGCAAGATCAATAACCAGATTAGCTATCAAAATTGTATTAAGATTGTAACACCCTGCTCATCACTGTACCTAAATAATTTAGAAACTCTATTTGTTCGGGCCTTTAGTCACGTTAAACTGAATTAATTTACATTGTTTAATATTTATCGTATTTTATAATTTTGGTTGATTTTTATTTATTTTGTTTTTATTTAATTTTAAGTCTAAATCATTTAAATTAATTATAAAAATTGAGATAAAAATTGAAAAACCGCAAATTGGGAAGAAAATCTCGCAGGAAGACAAGTTGCCCGCACAGGTGTCAGGACCTATGTGCGTTTTGTTGCGCGTAGGCGGGCTGTCCGCGCGTCACCTTGCACGCGAACAGGCTCTGCACGCTGTGCGTGCATTGTCTGCGCACCATGCCTGTGCGGATAGGCCCTGTGCGCCTGGGGCCTGCGCACAGTAGGTTTGCACGCGCGACAGGAGGCATGTGTGCCTGCAGGCTAGCCTGTAGTGCGCCAGCTGGGGCACTGCTACCTTTTTTTCTCGTCCTTCAACTTTGCCTTGATCTTCACCGTTGGTCTTGAAAGAGATCCAACTACTACAAACTTTAAAAAATTCGATTGTTGTGAGGTTCAACAGCTTTTAAAAGGAGACCATCTCCCTCTTTTCTTTACTTCTTTTATAACCTAGATTAAAGCCACAGAGCCTTGTAGAGAGAAAAAGAGAGATAGAAAGGAGAAGAATGAGCAGAAGAAGAAGGCAAACAAAGAAAAAAAAAATAGAAACGGCCAGCAATGGCTTCAAGACCGATTAGTTCCCAACAAGCAATAAGAGGTGATTTGGTTACTCTCATTTTCTTGATCGGTTTTCTATAGGGCAGTCCAATCGATTAGGCTTCTCTCTTCTGTTGGTTCTTGTTGTTCTTACTTTTGTTTCTAGAAATACATGATTGGGTTTATGAGGTTCTCTCTTTCATGGGTTTTGTTAATCGCTTGTAAGATTGAGCATCTGAATGGACTAATCTTGGATTTTCAAAGGTTTTGATTGGGTTTCTGTTTCAACACCCATTTGATCGTCCGATTTGATTTCCGATCCTCTATTTTTTTTCAAGTTATTGTTCACGGCTTTTCATAATCTAGGATTTGATTGATCATGTCAGTCATTTTTGGATTTGAGACTTTCCACTTGTTTTTGTGACTCACATTAGTAGAATCTAGATCAACTGTTCCATTAAAGGATCATTAATCTTTTACTGAGTTTACAACCAAACAAAATCTTTGTTTGGTTTAATCTTTGGGACTGGTTCTCAGATTATTTTCTTGATCTAAACAAAACAATATTTCTTTAACGAATCTTGTTCTCTATCTTAATAAATTTGTTTCTATAATAGGTGTGGCAGATTTAGGAGGAGCAGGAAAGCAATAGAAGAAAGCTGTTGCAGACGGAAGAAACCGACATGCTCTTGGCGATATTGGTAATCTTGTCACTGTTAGAGGCATTGAAGGGAAGCCTCTGCTTCAAGTCTCTCGCCCTATCACTAGGTTGATTTTTTTTGTCAAGATTTTTACATCTACCCATTTCAAGTTTCTTCCCTTTTTTTTGATCCTTATTATTTAGGAGTTTCTGCGCACAACTATTAGCCAATGCTCAAGCGGCTGCTGTGGGTGAGCACAACAAGGTTCTTTAATTATACACCTCTTATCTGGTTGTTCGTATTTCCATTTCTGATTTTTCAGGAGAATTAGGTTTTTGGGATTCATTACTTTGCTCTAAAAGCTTTAGGGTTTTAAGGACAGGTTTTGTATCTTAAATTTTTTTGCTTCAAATTGGGATTGATTTTGTTCTGCAGGCTTGCTTTGAAATGCAGAAACAAATTTGTGTTAAGGTTCAGAAGGCCTCAGTTGCTGTTGCTGGAGCTGCAATGAACAAAAGAGTTGTGATACCAAAAACAGGTGAGAAGAAAGCCATTGTTAAGCTAAAGCCTGATGAAGTAATAGTGAGAAGCCTAGACATAGAAGAAAAGGTGAATGCTAGAAAGCAAGAAAAAGCTCCAATCAACAAGAATAAGGATACAGAAGGATCATCCAAGAAGATTTCTTACACTTCAATCCTAACTGCTCGAAACAAGGTGACATTCAACATCTTGTCTCCATTATTCTTTTGGGTAAATCTTTGTGGCATCCCAAGTGTTAATTAAGGCAAATGAGTGTCAGATACAGATTCAGAATAACGAGTGCATGATAAAATTTATGCAGCAGAACAAAATTATTACAAATCCCTTACAAATACATATGAGTTCCAATACATACATATATTGAGGTCAGAAGTTGCTGCAAAATATAAAACAAAACATAAGACTCACTTTTTTCACTATGCTATTGGACTCATCAGAGTGTGAGAACAATCATGTACTCAGACTTGTGGATCCATGGGATCCTCATAAACTTCCAAGGGTAGGTCAGCTTGTGGTTCCTCACTTTCTTCTTCATTTGGGGGAAGAGCCATGAAAAGAGTGAGTTCCATATATTCAATAAGGAAAACAGAATTATTAACATTGTAAGATTTCAAAGTTCATTATTTTAGCTTACCATTTAACCTCTTTGTTTATCTATATCACATTATGACAAACCACTTATTTGTTAAGAAAATGTTAATACATACAACCAAACATACATTATGCCAGATAGTAGAGAAAATCAAATAAATCATGAAATGCTCAGATTTTTGTGTCATGCTTCACGAAGTGGTTACAACTTCCATCTTTGAGAGCAGACACAGATTTCTAACTACCCTAGTGGAATGACTAGATCATATATAGATACAATAATTTGCTCAGACCCATTTCCTGCTGGCAAAACTATGGTACAATCTATGACTACGGTCGCACCAGCTATAGTGGCCCTAACAGATATCTACAGTCACGATATTAGTTAGCTATGGGTGACCCCTACATATAGTGCAATACCACTCTCATCAGAAGGTATGCCGTCATCCACTGAAAGCAGTTCTCTTATGTTTTTTCAGACCAGATAGGGGAGGAAAAAATAAATACCCAGAAGGGTAAGGGGAACAGATACCCCTCAGAAATAAAAAGTTTAACGAGACACTTGATACAATGTGCATGTCAATATAGATACACCTCGGTCCATACAAGCTTCATTCTACTTTTTTTTTTGTTTCTTTTATACTTTTTAGTGTTACTGATTACATATTATATTTATTACATGTAAATTCATCAACTGTCTGCAATTCACATAGCATGCTTGAAAATAAGAATAATTCAACTTATCTGAACACAGAGGCATACAAAACGCGCAAAATAACAATCATATTAAATTAGTTTATCTAAAAATACTTCTTAAGATGTTAAAAGAAATACTAGATTTCTTACCAAAACCTCAATGTTTTCTCCTTCACCATTTTCCTTTCTTTTTCTTCTTCTCTCACTAGACTACAATCTCTCTCTCTCTCTCTAAGTCTTTGAAAAATGAAAGAATGGAAGTGTAGAGAGGGAGGGGGAAGGATAATTTATAGAGTTTTGAAACCATCGAATTCGTGCCAAGTGACGAAATCCGATGAAGAGAGAGGAAAAAAAGTGCTCGGCACGAAAAATGGAGGAGGGCCTCTTCCACCAACGGTGGCGACGTGCCGCCCGAGGCAGTGTCGGCGCACAAAGGTTTTTTTTACAGGGTTAGGCCTGTATCTATTTCCTTTTTATTGTGACCAAGCCTAACATTTTTATATGGGCCAACTCTTAAGTGGATTTATGGTGAAGGTAAATTGATTCTTAATATCGATATCATGTCAAATGACCCAATTAATTGAAATGGTGAGCAAATCAGCCACAAATGAAGCAATCAATTAAACTAGCAAAATCATTACAATTGACGATTAGGCAAACTAAAAAAACCGATGGCTAAAACAATGGCAGCTAGGATTAGTTAAAACCCAACTATACATTCTTTTCAGTCATGGTGCAAAACACACATACATATCACTCAAAACACTTGTAGAGTTAGATTTATGATTTTATACTTTGTCATCTAGTCCAGCAACAATAATCTGTAAAATTCAGAATCATCTATTTTTCGAACCTTCCTTGAAGTTAAACAAAAGAAAATAACAGAATAGCAGGTAAACATAAGAACTTTTCTCCATCATAGGTTGGCCAATTGAAGTAAATACAAAGTAGTATGTTAATCAGAAATTGAGAGATATACTCACATTGAAATCGTGAGCGTATTTCCTTATAAGGACAATTGCTGCATTCCATTCTAGTTCAAATTCAAATGTTAATACAAATGAGAGCCCTTTTTTTGGTTTCCAAAACAACGACTTGGCTGGAGCATTAGCATCACCTCCGAATTCGCTTAGCTAAAAGGCCATCAAGTCAGGTATAGATAATAAGAAATGCCTGTTGATAGTAGCAGTTTCTTTTAAATCATATAACTTTGAAGAAGCAAAAGTTTAGAGGAAACTAGTATACCACATTCAAGACATCCAGTAACTAATTTCCAATTTCTCTTATTCCATTAAGATGTTCAACAGAAACGTATACAGTCAGCAAGAAGCTTACCTACATTAAGGTTGAATAAATATCTCAAGCCTTTATGATCCATCCCCTTCAAAGCTTTATCCTCGTCTTTCCAACATTAAATATATGTGTAGAGTGAGATGTATGGTCTTGTTCGTTCATATGAGAAATAACTACCTACCAAAACATAACATCAAAACTTGATCAGAGCCTGAGTACGGAAACAATTTTGTTTCATCAGTTCAAGACTGCTTGACATTTTCAAAGAATCATAAACAAATTCAGTCCTTTTTCTTTTCGTGTATCTATTTTGCATCTAAACCACTTTACTGGATTATTCCATGGATCATAGTCGTTAAATTGACATTTGAGAAGTTAAAAACATTACAAGGCTGTGGGACAGTTCATAAATCCCATCACAAATTCCATATTTTTTGGGAATTACCATTTTCTTATCAACTTAACTTTTACATGGTTTTTTAGAGTCTTTATTATGTTGCAGGATTTAAGTAAGGAAAGTCCATAAAACTTGTTGTACACATTTAAAGACAAAAGACCATGATTCCATTAATTGTTGGGTTTTAAATTTACCATATGGGCTTATATATGTAAATTACTGTGCATAAAAGGCTACCAGATTAACGAGGTCTAGTTAAGAGTGATCCGATATGGTTAAGGGTATATTGGATTTCAATGCATCAAATTAAATTGTGAGTTTTATTTTATGTGTAGAGACTAAATTTATAATTCTTAATTTTATGATGGGTCAAACTAGGAATATAAAAAATTTATAGGCAGAGTTTGCCTATAAATAGATGGTTATGGTCTCCAAATTATATGTAAGACTTTTTTTTTTCTATTCTAATATTTCGTCACCAGAAATAGAGAGTGTAAAAACTCAAAAAGCTACGTGCTAATTTGGAAGATCTACCGTAGGACATTCAAATTTCTTTCATTATGAATTTAGGTACATTTTCATATTTATTCTCTTTGATTCAGTACGAGATTTGTTTATGTTTTTTTTTTTTAAATCTAGTTTGATTTAATTTTAACAAGTGGTATCAGAGCTACCTCGTATTGAATTCTTGAGATTCGATATTTTTTTTTTCAAATTCAAATACATGTGGTTGTGTTTTATTTTAAGATCTGAAATATATATAATTTTTGCGTTGATTTTATTTTTGTTTTTAATTTTTGGATTAATTTTTTAAACAAAAATTTTGAATTAAGAAACAATTTTTGGAAAAATTATTTTCTTTTTAAGTTTTATGCATTAAGAAAAATAAATTATGGATTCAAATGCAAGTATATATATATATAACAGAAAAAAGAAGAAAAAAATGCATACAAAAGGAGGTCGATCAGCCTCCCAGTTGCAGGTGTGAAGCCGCGCCAGGCGGCGTGACAGAGAAGTAGCCCTTCTAATCGCGGTGTGCATAGAAAAAGCGGCAGCCATGGTTGCCGCATGAAGGAAGAAGATGAAGAAAGAAAAGAAAAGAAAAAAAAAGGTTTGTTTTTTCTTCTAATTTGGTTTTCAGGTCGTGGGACCAAATAATATAAAATTTATTTTGTCTTTTCTTTTGGACTTTGGTTGTAGACAACATAAAAAAAAGGGAGAAAGAAAAAGGAGGGGAGGGGAGGCCTGCGTGCGGGCTGGGCCCGACCCGATCCAAATATGATCTGGTCCAGACTCGGCCAGTTAATTATCAACGTTTTGATCGGTCAATGGTCAATGTTTAATAGGTCAACATCAAAGGAAAGACTTTGACCGACCAACGGTCAACGATCAATGTTGACTTTTATTGGTCAATAGTTTGACTAAAAAAAATTTAAGGGGGTCTATTTTCAGGATAATTTTGGTTATTATTTATGAATATTTTTCTTTCTTGTACAAAATGAATTTGATATAATTTTAAATTTAAGTATTGGTATATGTATATGGATTCTGAAATGAATCGATTTATACATGTCGCTAAAGTGATATCTCTTGTCTTAAGTTGATTTATTTAGAATGTAAATAGTTATATATGTGTATTTTATGTGAATGTTAATCGACCCAATGGAAAATTAATGTTTAACATAATTGCATTCCAATTGTGAGTAATAAATATGTGATAATTATTTAGTTTTTTGCATGTGACCTATAAATCGACTCAAAGAAAAATTTACTGTTTGGTGTGATGTTCTTACTGTCAGTATTTAATTACTATCACAAAATATCACTCACAAGTTAATGTTCTGTCCAAACATAGAGTGTTAATAGAGTGTTCGATATCTTAAGATGGGATTTGCCTATATTTAAATTCATTATTATTGTTTATGGTTTAAGGTTTAATATGAGTAATGATTGATTGAATATTATTTGTTCCTTATTTAATTTCATTTTTTGTTGTAAGTATCACTGCGAATGTTAATTCCATCCCAATGTTGAACGACACAAACTTAAAGACATGAAAAAACAGTGTTTGACTTGTTCTTGGAGTTATGGATCTGGATTGAGTTTTATGGGTCGATCCACATGCTCCACTTACTCCTAACAATACTTTTGAGGAAAAGAAGAGTTTAAAAGATGGGATCGATCGAACCGTATAAGT